GAGAGAAGACCATGGAGGCAGATGGCAATAAAAAGGACAGGCACAAGATACATTTAAAAGATAAAAAGCCTCATATGCAAGAGGTCAGATGGAAAACAGGCCGAGGGAGAGCTACCAGTGGCCATAACTCAGCCTCCAAGAACATTGGCAATTGCTCTCAAGCCAGCCTGCCCTCTCCTACCTGCTGTAATCACCCTGCAGCTCTCCTGTCGCTGGCCAGACAAGAATATAACAACTCCGCAGTCAAGATTTGTCCCCTCTGCACATCAGTAACAAGTCATTTTATAAAAAAAACCAGAGAACATGCATTTCATCTGGTACAAATGAGGTTTTTAAAATTCCATTTGCCTTCCTTCTGTATGCAAATGTGTGCTGATCTGATGAGGTTCCTATTTCCTGGATTACACACGTCAAACTTTGCAAAAACAAGCACACCCTGGTGGTTTCACTCTGTATTTCGCAGCCCTCTCTTGACCATGCTGACATAAATATTTCAGAGACCTGCCCACCACTGTCAGAGTTAGGTCTAGGTCACCCAGAGGCCAGTGGTTTGGACAGTCATTAATTCAGCAAAGCAATTAGCAAAGCAATTAGCAGGAGCTGCTGTAGCTCAGGACATCCTGGTGAGCAGCAGGAGCCAGATACCCCAGACAAGGTGTAAAGGAACGCTCAGCAGCACCCATGAGCTGTGGGACAGGACTCCTGAGCCAAAGGAATCCCTTCTGCCACTGCCTTCTTCTCCCAGCTTTAAAAACCTCTTCTGGCTTAGAGCAGTGCTGGCTCATTTGGCCACTGAAATCTGAAAGACAAAGACTGGCCACAAAACTGGACTGAGTTATTCCCCATCCAAAGTCCTGTTCTTTCCAAAACTACAGCAAGTCCTTCAAAGCAGCTTCTGAAAATACCTCCCCAATGTGAGTTCCTTGAGAACTGTGTTCCCATATGTGCAAAACCTTGTTTGTGCAGCAAACTAGATGAGGGAAGGCCTGAGACAAGTAGGAACAGCAAAGATCTCAGCCCGAGGATCCTTGGAAGCTGCAGCTGTGGGTATGTAAATGCTAAGCAACATATCATCAACTCCCTGCTGAACATAACATGGTCTCATCTTTGCAGAAGCAGCAACAATAGCATGTTCACATCAACCTCACTCTGGCAGGCTGATCAACAGCAGCAGCCACGGCTCCTTAGTTTTTACCTTTGGAAGATGACTCTGGGCAGTGGAAACACTGTGGAGCCACTGCAGGTACCGGCACAGGGCTCTGCGAGGCAGAGCTTTAACCCTGGCTGAGGGTACAGCCAGCCAAGCCCCATGTCCTGCCCTGAGACACTGGAATATCCCACCCAAAGCCCAGGGAGATCCATGCTGCAACATTCCCATCACCAGTGCAAGGCTTTGCTTCATCTCTCCAGTCTGCAGGGAGCTGCTGTGACCAAAGGCAACCTCTCCGTGCCCCACTGTTGGCGTAAACATTTGGATATTTGGGGCAGATGAGGCTCTTGCTTGGTCCATCTGGGTTTGGAAACTGGGTTCCTTAATTCCCAGCTTCCAGCTGAGAAACCTGCCATTGGGTTTGTGCCACGCCAGGGAGCAGGGAAGAGGCAGAGCTCACCTGCAGAGGCCCAGCACAGCTCCCCACAGTGCTCGTCACTGCTGGGGGGCTGATTAACCTCCTTTTTCTTTCCCATTCAAACCTGTGCCTCCTATATCTTTTTTCTTAACCTTCACGACAAGGTCTTCCCAGAGGAGCCACTGCTGAGCTCAATGCTGGCTGGAGCAATCCAGCTTCCAATCATCATCAGGAACACAAAACAGAGAGAAACGGTGCCCAAAGAACAAAAGTAGGTAATTCCCAGGAAACAAAGCATTCGTGTGCTCTGGGATGTTGCGTGGCAGATCTGAGGTCACCAGAAATGGGAAGGAAATGCTTTTATACACAGAACCCCCAAGAAAACTGTCAGAATGATGGAGAAAACCATCACAGAATCATTAAGGATGGAAAAGCCCTCTCAGAACATTGAGTCCAACCATTAACCTGGCACTGCCAGGGCCACCACTAAGCCACGTCCCTAAGCACCACATCTACCTGTTTTTTGAACACTTCCATTCATCTCTGCCATCCCAAAGACTAAGGATCAGGCTTTGGTTGCCATAACCATCAGGCAAGATCACCTTGAAAGGCAGCAGGTGTTTCTGTGCACTGACAGACTCAACCTCCGCGTGCTTGGCAGAGCTCAGCGTACACAGCAACAGTCACCTCTGCTAGGTTTCCCCACAGGGCTTCCAACTCCCAGAGGAACTATCACCTGGTGAAAGTGTATTCCAAAAGGAAAAAGACAGCAGAGGAAGCACAACTTCAGAAAGACTCTGTGTCTGTGGTGGAACCTGACCACAGGAAGAGTCCAAGCAGGGGTGTGAACCTCCGTTCAGAGGACGCTGCAATCCCACTCATTAATGCCCAAGTAACCTGCAGGTTCCGATCATGGACAGAAGGAAAAGCCCCACAGATTAGACCAAAAAAAGAACAATAACAGAGGTGCTGGAAGCCTTTCCAAGGCACACATCTCCTTTCTGTCTGAGCCAGCTGCACCTGGTGCATTATTTAGTGCCAAGTGAGAAAGAAGAAATGCCTAACAAAGTGTTAAAGGACTTTGTGAAGTTTCACCAACCTTCCCAGAGCCATCAGCTCTCCAGCTGCCTGGCAGAAGAGACAACTGATCTTGCTCCTAGATTACAGGAGGCAGAGCTCTTAGGGCAACTGTCTCTCTGTGTTTGCATCCAGCTACCTCCAGCAGCTTGAAGTGTGCTCAAAGTGCAAGAAAGCACTTGATCAAAATCCAGCTCACACTGCAGGCAGGGAGGAACAGGCACCCAAAACAGCGTTAGATACAATAACAATCGAATTTGGTGGGGGGATCTGACAGGTTACAGGTTGATGACACTGCTGCAGTCTCAGTGGAAACACAGATTGATGCAATTAGCAACAGGGAACTAGAAACACAGCAGAGGAAAATTGGGGATACATCTATAAAAGATGAGCTACCGCACAAGTGTAGAGAAGCACAGAAATCCTGTGTGAGCTCAGAACAGGAACAAGTTGAAACAGGATGAGCTGAGGAGAAACACAACTCCCAGCTCCCTTACAGTATTCAAAACTGAAGATCCAGATTTTAAATCCAAACATTTGCTTCCCCAGGAGACACTGGGCCAATTTGCCACAGGGGTACAACGGGAGAGGGACAGGGGGCATCCTGGCGAGGCAGGCAGTCAAGAGTAAACCCCTGAGCACTGTGCTGGGCACACTCCAGCCAGCCCAGCCAGGGCTCAGCTCAGCTGCCAGCCAGTGGAACCGCTTCGGAGAGCACGGAAGATCTGCAGAACCACAGGATTAGACACTGCCAAGGCATGTGCCTCTGCTAAAGGACTGAAAGCCACGTGCCTTGTGCAGCCACACCAGCTGCTTCCCTCCTCCTGTGGGTCCTTGTCCTGTACTCCCACGGGGGAAAGCCTGGGGCCCAGGGGCTGCAGGGGGGTGCTCGTGCTGGCAGCTGCTTCCCCAGCCTCAGTAATACCTGTGACAAAAGTGAGAGTCCCAGTCCACACAGAGATTTCACTTCACAGAAACCCCCAGGAGATGGAAACCCAGTTTGGCAGGGGGAGACCAAGGCAGACTCCTCTTTCTGATCCAAACTTGCCGCACACCCGAAATGGGGTGACAGAGCACCATGGGAGTTTTCACAAGAGTCACCAGAATTATTCTTCTATGTGAATGCTGGCAAGCTCCCCACTTCCACAAGCCCTGCGCTGCAAGTGCCCAACATGGAATTACAACAAAAATAAAGTGGAATAAGGCACTGGAGCAATGGAGAAGGTGCTTCTGAAGAAACGCTGCAGAGGTTTCTAATGACTGCAAGGATATACATATTCTGCTCCAACAAGGGTGCTGGGTATCTGCAAGGCTGAATAATGAGCAGGGACACCACACGCCTCCCATACATAATGGTACAGAAATGGAATATAAGTATATACTGCGGCTCTGTGAGACGTAGGGGCTTTTGTAGCCATTTACGTTTTACAAAGATTTACACTTGGAAAAGTCGTTCTGCTGTATCTGGCAGAAATTTCAAGACAAATGGAACCCATACTTATTCATTCAATGATAATACTGAGCACAGAATAAAGCTCTTAAATTCAGAGCACTTTATAAAAATTAATTACTACTTAGTTCACCCTTGTGAGGTGGGAAGGTATTACACCTGCATATACATGAGGACACCAAAGCACAAGTGGATTAAACAGCTCGTTCAGGACCCCAGAGACAGGTTAATTGCTGAAATATGTATGCACACATGCATCTGTGTGTGTGTTTGAAGGGGCTTGGCTCCTCCAGAGCCTTCCCAGTGCTCGGGCCCTTGCAGTGCAGCCAGGCTGCTCCACTGGGCTCCTCTCACTATACGTGCCCCATGCACGGCTAACAAAAGACATCAACCCAAAAAAAAAAGGGAAGAGATTTTTTTTTGTGGTTTGCACAGATAGGAATAAAAGCTGGATTTCAAGCAGCCAAGGAACAGAAAACCCATTGTTAAAATGCTGTGCAGCGCTACAGTGACATTCCTAATCAGTTTGCACCAGCCCACACCGGAGCACAGCAGACCTGGGAATGCACACACCAACAAATGTTATAAAATCTGTCCCTTGACAAGCACACGAAGAGAAAAAGGGCTGTGGAGGCAGGGACAGAGACACCCCACCACCTACCCTAGGGCTGGCAGCCCAGTCTCTCTGCTCAAGTGACCTGAAAGCACTTTAGCAACCACTCCCCTTTGCCAGGCGCTTTGGCCGTGGCCTCTGGTCCCTGTACTGGGTCACTGAGTCCTCACCTCTTTATCTGAACATCAGCACAAGCTCACATTGTCATGGGAACAGGCAGGAATCTGAGTGTCTGCAAGGCTGCTGTCAGTGCTGACAGGTGGGGCTCCAGAGAGATGCTATAATTAGTTACCTGGACGGAGGGTTTGCCACTGATGTGTGGGGTAAAACACTTCCAGGTCTTCAGGATCAGCGTCATCCTCTGTCACCGGCTCATTCCCACTGTCATCTTTTATGTCGCTCTCTTCTATTTTTGTAAGGGCAAACTCCTTTTGGAGAGAAGAGATTCAGCTCATTAGCAATTGCATCTGGGTAATTTAGTGCTGGCTGAGAATACAGAATTTTTTCCCTCGCCAGCAGATTTTTTTTTTTTTTTTGACATCCGAGATTCTTTCCACATGGTTAAATTTAGATTTAAAGTATATTAAAGGTTAAACATGCATAACTAGCATGACATTTGTGCTGAACAAAGCAACGCAGCTGATTTCCTATTCCAGGGCAGGCTGCAGGTTTTCAATCAGCTTCCAGAGAGCCTCACCTGTATTTCACTCAGAGCCAGGGGCCCTGGCTATTATTAGGGTTGCGTAACGCTTTAAGACCCTGTTTTCCATTGCCTAAAAATATGTCAAACTTCTAACTTTTTCAGCTGAAATTTTCCACACGAGTGGAACGCCTCAAGGATCGTTGGTTGTTGTTGTGGGTTTGTTTTTTTTTTTTCCTTAAATGCACTTATTTCAGGCTTGGAGAAGATTTCAGCTAAAATAGTTCAGCTATTTCCAAAATAGGACATGAGGAAAAACACACCGAGTTGCCCACACGATACAAACGCGAGGATCCTCTTCTCCACACGTTCCCAGCGTTCTCCAAGCCTTTTAAAACAATGAGGCAGGGATTTAATCACCACCTACATGGCAAGTGCAGCACGGGGATGGCAGAGGTGTGGGAGAGCAGCCAGCACGAGTCGTACGATGCTACACACAGGGAAAAACGGGCATGAAAGGCAGGGGAAAAAAATCCTTGCTGCGAGGGAAACCTCACTGCTCAATGGAAAGTCTCCCTAGGGAGCTGGTGGGAGTCATGTAAAACTGCAATGGATAAAATTACAGAGAGTGCATAGTAACGACCTGGTGCTGTCACACCAGGGGAAGCAGCTCTGTGTTACTCTGGTTTGAACAGGAACATATGAACTGATCTAGGTTTATCGTCTGGACAGCTCAGTGCCTGTTGGAGGGAATATTATCGGCTTCCGAGATCGCCAATCCAGGTACCACTGAATAATTTCAGGTAACCAGCCTATAGGGAAAGATTATTCCTAATTGTTGGTAATTAGAATAGAGTTACAGCTCACTTCATGAAGTGTTTGGATATTAATCCTTTGAATTTTTTCACAGGGAAAGAAAAAAAAGTAAGTTTGGAGGTTAACTGGAAATTTTGGGCCACGTTCTGCCTTCTCTTCTTCCACTCCTTGACTGTGTATTTTCTGTCAGAATCTGGATGCTCTGCATATAAACATCCATTTTCTAGCCTAGAAGAGTGTTTCTGAGCAAGAGAAATGTCAACATGAGCAAAACACGAACAGGAGCAATGACAGTGTGGATGTGGCACTTCAGGACATGGTTTAGTGGTGGGCTTGGCAGTCCTGGGGGAATGGTTGGACTCGACAGTCTCAGAGGGTTTTTCCAGCCTAAACAATTCCATGCTTCCATGACTGTGGTAGCTTATGAATATGGCTGAAAAACCTATAGAATATTTATATTTTAGCTGTCAGAAAGGAACACAATTGCAGAAATGCATGAGAAAACAGAGCTTAACTCCTGCTTTCACTGAGTGCATCAGGGGCTCGAAATTGTTCAAATTATAACAAACGTTAAAGCTCAGGAACAATCACAGCTATAAAAACCCAGGTTCTGCAGATGAAAATCGATGTTTAACATTTCCTGAGCCAAGACTCCACGGGACTAAAAAGGAGTGAGTGGAGCAGTTATTACTTAGGTTATTTCCACGGCTCTGTGATTATCCGAGAGGGACTCAGTGATACAGGCTATTGTAAATGCACCAACAGGCCTCCCAGGGCTGGAGCTGTTCAAACACATAATGGAGACAGCTGATGTTTACCAGCTCTGCTGAGGACAAGTGCTGGGCTTTAAATGCTCAGTAAGGAGAAAAGGATGTGACTTGGTTCATTTAAGTGTTACTGTCACTGCTTGGCCACAGTTGCTGTGCAACACCCCATTTTCCTCAGTGTTTTTGGCCAAAATGGGCAACACGACACAAGCAATTCTCCATTACACAGAAATTAGTAAAATCCTTTTTGGTCTGTTTTAATAACTAAAAGTAGGAGAAAGATGTTTTCTAAAGAACAATGGACATTTCCTTAAAGGCAAAAAAACTTCCTTGCTTTACCAATCTGAAATCAAGGGCAGTAAGGTGAAAAGCCTGAGTAGGGAGGGTCTGGGATACTGCTTGCACTCAAGGAGGAGGGAATTTTTTCCAGAGAGAGTGCTCAGCCATTGGAATGGGCTGCCCAGGGAGGGGGTGGAGTCCCCGTCCCTGGAGGTGTTTAAGGACAGCCTGGATGTGGCATCAGTGCCATGGGCTGGGAACCACAGCGGGGTTGGATCAAGGGTTGGACCTGATAATCTGAGAGGTCTTTCCAACCCAGCTGATCCTGTGATTCTATGACCACTGTGGAGTCCTTGGATGGGAGTGTAGGAGAAGGTGATGGGAGGGTAAATCCCCCATTGCATTACTGTTGCCTGAACCTCCCATCAGGCTGCTGCCCATTCCAGCACGTGGCTGTCCCAGTGCTCCCATTCCAGCTGGGATGTCTGTGCTCTACCTCCCCTTCCTCCCTGAAACAAAGATGTTTTACCTCATCATTCACAGAATCGTGGAGTCATTTAGGCTGGAAAAGACCTCCAAGATCATCAAGCCCACCCTGTGCCCAATGCTCACCCTGTCCCCAGCCTAGAGCACTGAGTGCCACGGCCAGGCCTGCCTGGGACACCTCCAGGGCTGGGCACTCCAACCCTCCCTGGGCAGCCCCTGCCAAGGCCTGACCACCCTTTCCAGGGAAAAATTCCTCCTGATGTCCCACCTGCCCCTCCCCTGGCACAGCTGGAGGCCGTTCCCTCTCCTCCTGTCCCTGTTCCCTGGGAGCAGAGCCCGACCCCCACCCTGGCTCCCCCCTCCTGTCAGGGATTGCAGAGCCAGAAGGTCCCCCCTGAGCCTCCTTTTCTCCAGGCTGAGCCCCCCCAGCTCCCTCAGCCCCTCCTGCTGCTCCAGCCCCTTCCCAGCTCTGTTCCCTTCCCTGCCCACGCTCCAGCCCCTCCCTGTGTCTCTTCCAGGAGGGCCCAGCCCTGGACACAGCCCTGGAGGGGCCTCAGCAGGGCCAGCACAGGGACAGTCCCTGCCCTGGTCCTGTGGATACACCATGGCTGGTACCAGAGTCATTGTGTGACTTCAGGTGGGCCTGAGGCACCGACTGCTTACACTGTGACCTGTCCCTTGACCTGCTTGGGCAACAGCCCAGCCCGCAGAGCTGCATCCCAAACCAACAGCCCAGAAAGCTGCAGTGCACGAGCAGGAGTGTCCAGGGACATGGGATCTGGCAGCCCCCTATGTCAGTGCTCTGGGGATACTCCCTAGTTTAAACCACAGAATTAATTAGACAAAAAACCCACCACACTCTACTGCTTGAGCTTCCTCAAGGGAGCTTTCCAGGGGCCTGGCAGCCGGGGTTCAGCAGCAGGATCTGACCCGGGGAGTTTCACACTCAGCACATGTGCAAAGGGCAGAGAGACCCCACTCACCTCAACTGCAGCTTCCAAATCAAGTACCAAAATCCATGCACACGGCACCCAAGGACCTGAGAGGATGCTCTCCTAAGCCTGACTCACCTGTGGTGACTCAACAGATGCACAGCCAGGAACGTAATTGAAGCCACCCCTTCCTGTCTCTCAGAGGTGACTCACCAACCACTGCAACAGCCTCCTGGGCTGCAGAGAAGGCTCAGGGAAGGCTGTCACCCCACCACAGACCCCAGTGGCACGGCTCCCAGCCAGAGCAGCCAGCACTTACGGGAACTCTGTCGCTTAGGCTTGACCAGGAGAAGAGCACAGAAACCAGCAGCACCAGCAGGTTGGCTTTGGCAGCGGTGGAGAGGAGACCGGCCCAGGGAGACATTGCCACCAGCCTGAAATGCAAATACCCAACAGTGTTTTATTCTGTGTTTTCACAGGCTTCAGAACTCTTTACACAACACTTTGCAACACAGCATGGGATCAGGGTTGTGGCACTGCTGGAAGCAGAACACCCTGAGGTGTGAGCACACGGGTCCCTTTGGGGTCTCACTGCTAATGGGGTTTGTGACAGGTAACGCCAAAGGAGCTCATTGACCCCACAGGGGCTTATATTTCTCCTGGAAAATATAAAGAGACCTGCAAGACTTGTTTGAAATAACTGTGTTAGTGCCATGTATGGCAACTACAGGGGAAAATAAAAATCAGTGCAATCCTGTGAAGGCTTTTCCTGCCTGTGCCTCTTTTTAATTGCAGAAGTAGCTGCATTAATTCAAATTAAACAAAACGACCAGCTGTCCAAGGATCAGGGGTTTATCTAATCCATATGTAGGTTTTTCTTAGGGAAAACAACATTTTGCAGAGGTCAACAAGGTTTACGTGGTGGTTCCTGCAGCACAAGGCTTTCCCCGCTGCTCAGAGCACCGGCTCACCCAAACCATGAGCTCAGGAGCTGGCTCTGACCATGCCTGCAGGGCACCACTCTGTGCCCCGTGGCACCCTGACCCACCACAGATCTCCTCCTGAACTAGGGAGGGGGAAAAAGGCAGGGTCCTGCTCCTGTGGGTGCCGGTCCCCTGGTTCAGAGCTCATGTCTCCAGCCCTGTGTGTGTAACCACGCACATGTGTCCCCTCTGCCTCGCAGCACGAGGCTCTGAATCCACCTCCAGCTCGCTGCTGGGGTAGGGAGCGAGCAGCCTGCCAGCACACAGGCTGCACAAGTATTTCCTTTGATTGGCTCTAAATTTACACGCTGCTAAATTAAACTAAATGAGATCTTTTGAAAGAAGATGGGACTGATTAGTTCCGTTCAAACACTCCTTCATTACTCATCCCTCCATCAAGTCTGCTCCTACTCCTATCCAGGTTTCAAAGAATTTCCTCCCATACATGCAGTCCGAAATATCTTTCTTGCTCTCTGCTGTCCCTCAGGATGGGCACATCACATCGCAGACTTTCCATCCTCGAAGCAACCATGTCCTGTTCCACAAGGCAGAAAATGTGCTCACAGGAACACCCAGCACCAGCTCCAGCCACCAGAACCCTTCAGGAACATCCAGGGAGAAGCTCCTCTCCTTTCACCCCTTCACTGCTCTCTTGTCTCCCCACTCCATTATGTTATTTCTTCTCTTCCTAACTGGTTTTTGCCAAAAAAGAGAAGAAAAGGCAAACCACTCCATCACAGTGGTCAATGGTGGACATGAGAGACAGAGCAGGGAGCGCAGATAATACATCTGATGTACTTCTGCATATTCCAAAAACTCCTGACCCAGGGTCTTCCTGAACAGCAGCCTCTATCTCTGATCAACTAGATTTTTCCCATTAATTGTTTTTGGAGCAGATCTGGACTTCTGACACACACAGCATCCCTGAGCAATGAGTTCCCCTGCTGCCACCCTGCAGGAAAGCATCACCTTGCATTTCCTCCTTTTTTCTAAAGGGTCAAAGAACCACCTCAGGAACCCACAAGCCCTTCTTAACCTACAGCTAGAGTAGAAGAAAAGCTCTCCATTTTCAGAAGACAGGTAGAGACAATCTGTGGCCAGAGCCTCTCCTGGATGCTGCCAAGCACGATCAGGCCATAACCAACACCCAGGCCCCCGAGCTGGAACACCCAGAGCAGGATTCATGGGTTCAAACTCCATCTGCTCCCAGAAGATCTTGATCTTCATGCCCTTTTGGCTACTGCCACAGTCACCACCTCAGTCTCAGGGTGACCCCAACATACAGTTTCCCCTCATGGCAAAACAAACTGCTGCTTTTTGCACAGGAAACAGGTTTTGGGGTGGGTTTTATTTTAGTTACAAAACAAGCAGCAAAAGTGGGATAATGAAAAATAGATGTATGCCTCAAACTCTACCTGCAAGCCTGGAAATAAAGAGAAAAAAGAAAAAGGAATCCAACAAAGCAGTGGTTGAAAGCAAACGCACACTCCCATAAAAATAGAGCTCACGTGTACCGAGGAGGCTGGTGGCAAATGACAGCACAGCCTCTTCCAAGCCTCCAGCCTCCCGCCTGCCTGGCAGATGACATCTGCACAACAATTAGCACTTTGCTTCGGTCCCAGGTACACAGGAGGAGCCAACATGTGCCACACGGGGCTCCGAAGCTCCTGGAGAGAAGCCTGGGCAGGCTGACATCTCGTTACAAGGCAGATGCACACAGGAGGCATGGGAGGATTCCCACACGGAATGTTCTGTGGATACAGTGCATTTTTGGGAACAACCCCTGCAGCTTGCAAAGAAGAAAGGGTGGTCACAGTGACCCCACCTGCCCAGGTAGCATTTGCTCTGATTTAAGACATCATTTGGGGATCCAGCTGTATCCACCTACAGGTGCAACTGGGTAGCACCAGAACTACAACAGGAAGGCCACAGATTCCCCTTGTGCAGAGTGGGACTTTTTCCTAATAATCATCTTTTCACAGAATCCCAGAATGTGCTGAGCTGGAAGGGACCCACAGGATCATCCAGTCCAACCCCTGGCCCTGCACAGGCCCAGCCCCAAGAGTCACCTCCTGTGCCCCAGAGGATCATCCAAAGCCTCCTGGAGCTCTGGCAGCCTTGGGGCTGTGCCCACTGCCCTGGGGAGCCTGTTCAGTGCCAACCACCCTCTGGGGGAAGAACCTGTTTCCAAGATCCAACCTAAACCTCCCCTGGTACAACTCCAGGCCATTCCCTCAGATCTTGTCAAAGAAGATCATGTTTTAGGGAGAGAGCAAAGGGTGAGACTCCAAGCAGCCTCCATTCCTGGCAGGGTTCCTCCTGTCAGAGCTGGGAGGTTCTGCACCAGCAGCCACAGAAAGAACAGCACAGCACTCTGTTCCCATTAGCAGGGACATTCCCAGCGATCCCACGAGCGGAGCCTGCACAGCTCCAGCACTGCAGCTCCTGTAGTCACAGGTGACAGCTCAAGGCATGTCAGTGTGAGGAGTGTATTCCATTAATGACTCTGCTGCTGGGACTGCAGCGCTCCTTCACACCCCAGCTCAGCCCACATCGCCTGTCCTGTGCCACTCCAGTCAATCCATCTGAAGCCTCAGCAGAATGCTGATCTCCTGCTCCAGGAGAGCACACAGACATCCCAGAGAGCTCCCCAGCCCCTGCAACAGGCTCTGGCTTTACAGACAACTGGAAACAGAATCCCAGAATTGCTGAGCTTGGAAAAGCCCTCCCAGCCCATGGATCCCCCCTGTGCCCCATCCCCACCCTGTCCCCAGCCCAGAGCACTGAGTGCCACGGCCAGGCCTGCCTGGGACACCTCCAGGGCTGGGCACTCCAAACCTCCCTGGGCAGCCCCTGCCACTGCCTGACCACCCTTTCCAGGGAAAAATTCCTCCTGATGTCCCACCTGCCCCTCCCCTGGCACAGCTGGAGGCCATTCCCTCTCCTCCTGTCCCTGTTCCCTGGGAGCAGAGCCCGACCCCCCCCAGCTCCCCCCTCCTGTCAGGGATTGCAGAGCCAGAAGGTCCCCCCTGAGCCTCCTTTTCTCCAGGTTGAGCCCCCCCAGCTCCCTCAGCCCCTCCTGCTGCTCCAGCCCCTTCCCAGCTCCGTTCCCTTCCCTGCACACGCTCCAGCCCCTCCATGTGTCTTGCAAAATTGCCTGCAAATTTCGTGGATCAGGGAAGGTATCTAATCCAGCCACCCTCCACGGAGGTGGCCAGTGGTAACAGAAGTACCAACAGCACACTGTGTGTCTACAAGCAGAAATAACTGACAGAGGTCTCTGACCGAGTGAGGGCAGTGCTGGAGACCTATTCAGTGCTGGAAGATCTCAAGAAACACAGCTCAAGTTACCCTTCAGCTGAACAGTAACACAAAGACTCCCGGCACTCACAGCCTCTTCAGCTGAAGGCAAACTGTGCTGGGCAACAGCAGCTCAGGGAATGTTCTACAGCCAGCCCTGCAAGTGGCTGTGTGATTGGAGAGGGGTGCTGAGGACACAGCAGATGAGAGCTGAGATCCCCTTCACACACAGTGCCACTGCAATGACTGGCATCCAGTATGAGACAGGCTAAGGGATGTGAGATGCCATGGAGACAGAGAAGGAAATTCAGCTGACCTGACCTGAAATTTTATTCCCCTGAGCAAGAGGGTCCCCAGCTCTGTGATGAGCAGCTGTTTTTGCTGACGTGCTGCAGAGCAGTATCAGTCAGATGCCCTGGGGCCATCCTGAGGCCAGCAGTCCCTCCTGCTCAGTGACTGCACAGCTACACCGACAGGAGAAAGAGGAGGGTTGAAGCTGAAATTCAGCCTGTGCATAAGAGAGAAAAGAGCTGGTGGACAAACAGAGGATTACTGGGAGGCTGTGGGACACTCTGCCCCTTCCCCCAGTCATTAGTTGGCTCTGCACAACCCTCTGCTTTCAAACAGAGGGCCAACCTGCATACACCATCATCCCCTCCTTCACAGGGGCACAGACACAAAGGCTCCTGGAAAGCACATCCCAGGCTAAGAGAAGCCAGCCTGGAAATACCCATGGACTGGGGAGCACAGGCCCTGAAGGCCATGTGTCTGCTTGGCAGGTCTCACTCCTGATGACCCACCTCAGCTCCTGGATTCAGGCACAGGATTTCTTGGATTTCCTCCACAAATTGCCCATGCTAAAGACCCAACTGATCTCATAAGAGAGAGCACAGGCCCTGTCCTTCCAAACACACTTACAGTGGAAAAGTGGTGTCAAAGACTGCCTCCAAACACACTTACAGTGTGTTTGGAGGCAGTCTTTGACACCACTTTTCCCCCCTCTTAAAACCCATTTTCATCCTCTTTTCCTGCTTTTTTTCCCTAAGATGAGGCCTAGTAACTGCCTGCACCTGCCCCAGGTTCTGTGCTGGCTGACTGACAGGCACCTGGGGGGCTCCAGGGACCCCCTGCTCTGGGCACCTATCAGAGTT